TTATACAGTTAAAAAGAGGTGAAGAGATGGTTTTCTAAGGGATCTATGCAAGTAGGGCCAGGGGAACTAAAGCCCACACGTCATGGCCATCCCCAAGAAAACAACAGAATTTTCTGACCCTGGGGCTTGAAGCTGGACTGAGATTAAGACAGGACATCTGCCTGCACATTCAACAATGTTCACTGAGTTTCGAGTATGTGCCAACACTGTGTTGGATGCATTAGACACAAATATGAATAAAAAATATATTCTTCCCTCGAGAAGCTCACAGTCTGGTAGGGAATAACAGATATGCAAACAGGTAGTGACCACACAGGTATTGTGAAAAGTCCACAATAGATCGCAGTGGTCTTTACTAGGCTGGTTTTAATCCAATGGGAATTGGACAGCATAATGCAAAGCGTTATAGGAAGACTTCTGCCAAAAATACACCCTCATTTCTACCCCCGCGGCAATAGTTCCTGAAAATCCAACCAGAAATAATGTTGTGTTAGCAGTTTAAAAACAAAAACGAAAGCAAGTACTAAGCTAGAAAGGCTGTCATCTGCATCTCAGTAAATTAGCTTAATAAGCCTACTTTTCTGACATCTAGCTGAAATTAGTCAGATGAAGAAAACGGAAGTTTTGAAAGGCAAGGGGGAAAGAAATGGGAACTAATTTGGAAGATACAGCACCAGAGTGAGACAGAATGAACAGAAGGGGCAGAAAAGAAAGAGGCATCTACTGTTTACTCATTTCAAAATTTTCCTTGCAATTGGTCCTTCCCCCTTTTCTTCTCCCAGAAACAAGAGAGGGGCCTCTGCTACCATCCTTTCTAAAGCAAGGCTATCTGTCATGTCCCTTACATGCCCTGGTCCCTAGTTTATTACAATTACTCTGCCTTCCTCGAGTGTCTAGGTGGTGAGGGGTAGGATAAGGGGGTGTGGTTGGGGAGTTGACAAACAAATAAGAAGGAAGACATGAATGAATAAAGATTCAGTTAGGGAAAGACACAAATAGAAGAGAACTAGGAAAAGACAAGCTTTTACTTGATATATACCAAAAATGTTACTCACTTATTAATTACTCTCTTCTATGCACTTGGTTAGCTAGTGTTCACAGCACTTCACGGGTTCCCTACCAGACTCGTACTTTTATCTTTAAACTCCACATTTCCCTTTCATGTATCAGCTCTGGATAGTATTAAAAGAAAAATTTTCAACAGTTTTAATTGCATTTTCAGTGATTTAGTTCCTTTAGATTCTAACCTTTATGGGTAACACAGGATTAAACACAGTCAATGCAAGGTTAAAATTTTCAGGCACAAAAATCCATTAATTTTTTAATACTCTTAGAAGAGTGACCTAATTTCAAAAGAAAGCTACTTGCATATCTGTTATTCCCTACCAGACTGTGGGCTTCTCGAGGGAAGAATATATTTCTTATTCATATTTGTATCTAATGCATCCAACACAGTGTAGCTTTCAATATATTGTTAAGAATGTTCTAGATATAATTTGTTTTGGCAAATACTCTGTAGAAATTCACATAACATTCTGCAGAACCAACAGTAAATTGCCCACATACCAAAAAATGTTTTTTGATAGCTTCAAATGAACCCTAAAGGATGACGGTCTTTAGAAGAAAAATGGTAAACACATAAGGTACATAGATAGCAATGATGTATGAGTTAGAAATTATAATTCTGGGTGATCTATCTCTGTTAAGGAGACTATTTACATTTAATCTGGTCAGTTGTAGATAACATAGTTGATGTGAAGGCCCTATTGAGATATGACCTGAAATACCAAAGTTAATTTTCTTTATCTCTGGCTTTCAATGTGAAAGAAATAGAATAAATTGTTCCTCAAAGCATTAAAAACCAAAATTACAATTATCAAGCACTAGAAAATGAAAATGTTTTTCCTTTTTGAACTATAACTGTTAGTATCTACAATTCCTTTCAATCATTAAACAGTTTTCTTATTCTGACCCAAACAGCATCAATACAAATCAGATAATAATTAAATTTTCCTAAAGCAGCCTTCATTTGTATGAATCCTTTTTTTTTTTTTGAGACAGAGTCTCACTGTGTTGCCCAGGCTAGAGTGCCGTGGCGTCATCCTAGCTCACAGCAACCTCAAACTCCTGGGCTCAAGCGATCCTCCTGCCTCAGCCTCCCAAGTAGCTGGGACTACAGGCATGTGCCACCATGCCCGGCTAATTTTTTCTATATATATTTTTAGTTGTCTGATTAATTTCTTTCTAATTTTTAGTAGAGGCGGGGTCTCGCTCTTGCTCAGGCTGGTCTCGAACTCCCGAGCTCAAACAATCCGCCCGCCTCGGCCTCCCAGAGAGTTAGGATTACAGGCATGAGCCACCATGCCTGGCCTGTATGAATTCTTAACTGCCACATTTCACTGACTGTATAGCGGGCAATTGATCAATCACTTTGTCCGCTGAATCACCTTAATGAACAGATTTTGAGAAAAATAGGAAATCTTCCAAAAAGGCTTTCACATGCCATTCTCCAATTTGGGTATCAGAAAATTTTAAACACAAATTCTCAGATTGCCGAATTCTCTCTCTCACCAAATCAACTATGATACAGGTAAAAGAGAATAACTTTTATTAGTTTTCCTACATATGAAAAAGACTGACAAGTTGCAAATTACGCATGACTTTTTGTTACAAGTAAGCTTGCGAGAAGCATCTGCATTATTCAAATTTCCCTGGTGTTATAACTTAGATAGTCTTTCTGTCTCTTTGCTTTCTCCTTCAAGACTTCATCTCATCTCAGCCACATCCATTTACACAGGAGGAAAGATCTCCCCTGAACCGAGAAATCATTTTTCAGTTATCTGGATAAGAGGTGTATTTCTGAGACTGGAAATGGAAACCAGGAGACCAAAGGGATGGACTCAGGTTCTCTTGATTTTAATGGTAGCAGGGCCAAGATGACAGGTCCCTGGCGGTGGATGGCCAACGGTATTACCACACCTAACCACACCGTGACAGTCAGGAAATCACCAAAGAAGAGATGCTGGGAGTGTGCGGTTAGGGGTAGAAGATAAATACCCCAAATGCCTGGCCCTGAGATCCCTGAGTTCAAACTAAGCAGGAGAGAATCAGAAACTGGTGTTCTGTGAGTTTGTTTAATGCTTTTGGTATCCCTTTTGTTTTTCATATGCATTAGGTAAAGTTGTTTTGAAAATGCAGTCAGCCTAAACTCTGCTAAGGGAAAGGAAGTATACGTTTTGCTTTTGCCTGAGCAACCATAGAGCCAGAAGAATGTGGCAGGGCAACACACAACAAAAGAAATCTTAGGGAACCGTGCAAGCCAGGAGAAAGAGTGTGGCCCACCTGCCCGGTTCTTAACCCTGGAAGGTCAAGGGCGTGTAATTACCAAGGACGGCAGCCCTTTAAAACAGAGATATATGTTGTGTTATTTGGAATAAGTTCCATTTTTCACACAAAATCACAAAATTACATGAAAACTAAGTGTATTATTTGCAAAATTTCAGAGAATACATTCTCTACAGCACCTAGCTATATATTCCCTTTAGTACAGAGCGACACACCATTGAGTAAGAACTATCATACTCGAATTTTTGTGAATGATAAGCTTTTTTTTTTTGGACAGTATAAACAAGGAATTTTTTTCCAAGGCTTGGTCACAAGTACTTTTATACAAAATGCAAACACTATTCTTCCATCATAAAAGTAATATCAAAGCTCATCTAAAAATTTGCCAAGTAGTACTTATTATAATTACCCTGTATATACTTTTTGATGACAAAATTTATCTTATGTATTATGAAATAGCTTTTCTGTTGTATTAACCACTTTTAAAACAATGCAAATAACAAATTATTTTAGAATTAAACCATCTAGAAATTACCTTACTCTTGTCCCAATAATGTAAAATATATTAATAACCTATTACATTCAGATAAATTATATACTTAGATGCTACATATTTATGACTTATATAAATTTATAAACTACATAAATTATATGCTTAAAATGTTTAGGTATACGTTCATAAATTAATCTGAAATATAAATTCTCAAGATAAATTAACAATTCCATGCTTCACATCTTGAAATTTGTGAAATACGCAATCAAAAGCAACAGAATTGTGGTGTAATTCTGAGGTGAAATTTGCTGAAACTTCTTGAGATATTCATATAATTTTTTTTTTTTTTTGAAACAGAGTCTCACTCTGTTGCCCAGGTTAGAGGGCTGTGGCGTCAGCCTAGCTCACAGCAACTTCAAACTCCTGGGCTCAAGCGATCTTCCTGCCTTAGTCTCTCAAGTAGCTGAGACTAGAGGCATGCACCACCACGCCCGGCTAATTTTTTCTAAATATTTTTAGTTGTCCGATTAATTTCTTTCTATTTTTAGTAGAGACAGGGTCTCACTCTTGCTCCGGCTGGTCTCGAACTCCTGAGCTCAAATGATCCGCTCACCTCGGCCTTCCAGAGTGCTAGGATTACAGGCATGAGCCACTGCGCCCAGCCTATTCACATAATTTTTAAACCTGCTGGTGTTGAGTTTAGACAAACTGAATAAATCTGGAAGATTAGATCAATTTTCTCATGTCTACCTTAAAGTATAAAAATTTATTTTAAAACACTGATTTTCAAAAATAGAACATCAGTATGAAATTTGAGGTAATTATTTTCCTTGGTACTTTATAGATTAGAGTTATTCCTTCCTCTGGAAATCAATATAGTTCATTAAGAAGCCAAATATTTTGTTTATTTCATATGTCTAGGAAATGGGTTGCTTTAGTCAACTGAACATGCTCAAAACTATAATACGTTCATTTTAAGCACTTAAAATACATACATTTTTAAGTATAAGTACTTAGAATTTATAAAAGGAGATAAAATACATTCTATATAGAACACTTTTTTTGATGGTAAAAAACGTACTTGAATTTTAGTATCAGCATAACAATAAATTATTACTCAATATTTTAGGGGGGAAATCTGGTTATTCAATCTTTTCCTTGATTTGATTTTATGTAAATACAAATTCACTATAAGGACTATTTCTGGTAGAAAAGATAATCTGACCCAAAAGCGTTTAGGAGATAACCTGAGATTTTAGAATAGAGATATAAACGGTCAAAACTGGGGTTCCTGAAACTAGAATTAAAATATTAGAATAGAAATATTAATAACTCTAAAATGCCATTTTTGCCACTGTTATTGACATTAACCAAAATATTAGAGAAGCGAATATATTAGAGAAGACTTTCAGACTAGAATGGGGGGAAAAAAAGGTTTGAGTACAATTCAAAATAATCATTGATAATTAGAAAACAAGTGGGTCTACAGAATAGTAATTCTTCAAAAGGAAGCACATAACTGGTAAGTCAAGTATTTTCTCTACAGGCAATCCAGTGCATTTTGGAACAAAAATTTAGTCACTAAAGAGAGTCCTTGACTTCTCATTTCTCTGGGGGCCTTTCAACTGTGCTGGCCTCCTTTTTACGAAGGAAGGTGAACACTGACTTCAATGTACCGTCACCACTCTGCTGGGAAAAGCAAAGGAAGGTGGCCCAGAGAAAACCACAGAGTCCCGTGTAAGCTGTTCTCCAGTGAACAGGAACAAGGCTGAAGTTGGTCAGCTGGAACAGAGAGAGTCTATTAGGGCTACGTATAAACCAAAGCCATGAGTTAATATACTGAGTACTTTGAAACTCACCTGTACAAAAGGCCAGTACATCAGACCAGTCTGGAATTTAAAAAAAAAAAAAATTATTAAAATGCCTTTTAACCACACAAAACAATTGCACAGTTCATTCTATAAGAGATTAAAAAATATCAGGCAGATAGGATGTCGAGGTGGCATTATATTTCAGACTAAGCCTATTAAATTAGACTACTTAAGGCGTCTAGAGTAGAGGGGGCTGGAGAGTTCTGGAAAATACTTCTGGGTACAAGATATTTGTATTAGTTATAGTCATAGGTCCAGAATGAAAGGTCTACCAGAATTAGCGCCAATTCTAGAAGACAACTGCTTTAGAAATAAAAACATACATTTATGTATTGCAATTTCCTAGCTAGCATAAGCCAATGATGCAGGAATATAAATACAGGGTCATCAATGAATTCTTAAAACTATATACCAAACCATTCTTTTTTTGTTTTCATTGGTTGAAAATTAAAATGATTAAAATATAGAGTTACCATATGACCCAGCAATCCTACTCTTAGTTACACAACACCCAAAATTGAAAACATCCACATAAAAACCTGTACATGAAGGTTTACAGCAATGTTATTCATAATAGCCAAAAAGTGGAAACTCAAATGTCCATCAACAGATGAATGAATAAACAAAATGTGGCAGATTCACACAATGTAATATTATTAGGCAATAAAAGGAATACAGTACTGAAACATGCTACAACATGGATGAAATTTAAAAACTTTAGGTTACATAAAAGAAGCCGACACAAAAGGCCACATACCGTATGATTCCATTTATGTGAAATGTCCAGAATAGGCAAATTCATAGAGACAGAAAGGAGATTAGTAGTTGTCAGGGGCTGGAGGGACAGGGAGTTGGGAGAAACTACTAATCAATACAGGATTTCTTTTTGGCATGATGGAAATGTTCTGGAATTAGTGGTGGTGGTTGCCCAACTTTGTCAATAAATTAATGAATTGTATACTTTTAAAAGGTGAATTTTATGTTATGTAAAATTTTATATTATGTGCATCTTATCTCAATTAAAAAAAATTAAAAGAATGGCTGCTTAGAGGACAAGATCATCTGGTCAGCTTACCTTACAGGCCTCTCAAACCATTCTTAACAGAATGGGTTGCTAATAATAGAATATATTCAAATTATGTCATGCTATAGAACAAGCTGAGCTCACATTTTTGTGTATTTACAAAATATTTTAGATAGACTTATTTTAACAGGTCTTATACTATATATTGTGACAAAAATGTTACCATTGTGGATCTTTTTAAAAGATAGAGGTCTTAAAATAAATAAATAAATAAAATAAAAGAGGTCTTGGTATGTAAATTATATCTTTAAAAACAACAACAACAAAAAAAAAAACCCTAGAAGTTTTCAAAATCGTCCTTGAAAGTAGTATTATAGACTTATTTCTTTTTACTAACTTGTATTTTCTGAAGTTTCTAAGATAAATAGTTGCAATAAAAGCTTTATAATATGTATTTCATTTAGGAATTTAATACTTTAGCAAAAATAATCAGAAGACTAAACTCATCCAAACATGGTTTTATTTCTCATGACCATTTTTTTCCTTGTCATAATGTAGCAACATCTAGTGCCCAGATCTTAGTCTCTTACACAATTCCCCACAAAAAGGGATCAGGACTCCTCAGACAATTGGCCGATTCCCAGGCTGGGGATGGGGCTGGGGCAGGTACAAGGTACAAGATACGAGATGAGCCTAGAACTTTTTTTTTTTTTTTTGAGATAGAGTCTGGCTCTGTTGCCTGGCTAGAGTGCAGTGGAGTCATCACAGCTCACTGCAACCTCAAAATCCTGGGCTCCAGCGATCCTCTTGCCTCAGCCTCCCGAGGAGCTAGGGCTACAGGCGAACGCCACCATGCCCAGCTAATTTTTCCATTTTTAGTAGAGACAGGGTCTCTGTCTTGCTCAGGCCGGTCTCCAGCTCCTGAACTGAAGCAACCCTCCCTCCTCGGCCTCCCAGAGTGCTAGGATTACAGGGGTGAGCCATAGTGCCTGGCCAGAACCTGGAACATCTTGTTATGTCAAAAAGTAAGGACGTGGTTAAAAAAAAAGAAGAAGAAGAAGAAGAAAAGAAAAAAGAAAAAAGACGCAGGATGTCACAAGGACATAGGACCCAGCTTGAAGGGACTCCCACTGGCCAAATCTGGGACACTTGAGCACTAAAAATAATTAAACACAGCAGTGAACTCTCCTCTGTGCATCTGGAAATCTCCCTCTGAATATCCTAAAGGCGTCCGGAATTCAACATTTCCCCAACTGAACTCATCTTGGTTTTTTCCCCCTTAAATTGCCTCCCTTTCCTCTCTGTCCTCAATCAAGGGATGAACACCATCTAGACTGTTTTCAAGCCAGAATTGTGGGTCTTTCCATCCATCACTAAGACCTATCAATTCTACCCTGTAAATATTGCTCAAATCATCCTACGCCCACTGCTTCCTTAGTTTTTATGCGAACTTGGTTACAATAACCCGCTACTGGTTTCCCTTGCCGCCATTACCTACAGGTGAAGTTCAAGAAGCTCAGCAGGGCGTTCAACAGTCTCCAAGATCCAGACTCCGTCCCAGCTGCTCCCCAGCTCATATTTAATACAGTGTGAGCATCACACTGTTTGTGGTTTCTCCCTCACAGGCATACCCCAGTGAACTATGCATTGTTCACTCTGCTCAGCTCCTGCCCCTGGAACGCCCTGTCGCCTGCCCCCGAGTATCTGCCTGACTGCAGTTGTTCTTTACCATTCAGCCACTCAGCTCAGGCATCACCTCTCCCAGGAAGCCTTCCTTGAGCTCCCTACTCGCACACCTCCACGCTGTGCTAAGTGCCTATCTAAGTCCCTTAGGGACTCAGTTGTGTTCTATATCTGGGTCCCCAACACCCGCGCCACAGACAGGCACCCCCCACCCCCAACACCAGCACCTGCCTCCCTGTCTGGGAGAAAAATTGTCTTCCATGAAACTATGAAACTTAGGAACAGGGATGGGGGAGGGGTGCTCACAGCAGGAGGGGAGCAGCAGGCCACTGAGGGAAGCTTCTGGAAGCTTCTTCTGTACTTACAGCCCCTCCCCATCGCTCTCATCGCTGCCTGAGCTCTGCTGCCTCCTTTGCCTATGGAAAAATTGTCTTCCATGAAACCAGTCCCTGGTGCCAAAAAGGTTGGGGACCATTGTTCTATATGTTTTTTTCCCCCTACCTTCCAGTAACACCTAGTATAGTGCCTGGAAGATAGTTTTTTATTATAGGAGATGTTAAGAAAAGTCCCCAGATGGGGCTGGGCTTCAGAACACTGGTACCCGCTTTCTTCCGTGGACGTGGATGAGTCTAACTCATTGTAGCCACTATTTTCACAAAGGCTCCCACGTTTCTCTGCCCAAAACAGCAGCCTGTACATCTGCATTCAGACAGGAGACTCTGAAACATCGGATCACACACATCCCTGCTCAAAGCCCCTTTTTTTTCCCAACTCTGCTTCTTGCTCTTTTTAAAAATGTTATATGTGTATATCTCCATAGGCTCTACAATATAGTGGGAAAACTTGTTCCTTTTTCCAAACTAAAACAGAAGAAAAATCACGTTTGGATGTTATCATAGGCCCACAATTTCTGCCCCAAGAGACGTAACAAGAGCTCTGAACATTCTTTCCCTGTGGTTGTTATCTCTGAGTAGAAGAACTCAGGTGAAGCCACAGGCTTCCAACCTCCCTATCGTCTGCCTCTGACCCTCAATCAGGTGTGCTGGTTCTGGGGCTTGGTGCCATTGAACAGACGATGCTAGAAACAGTGCAGATTCTAGCTGGGTGTGGCTTGGTCCTGCTTTTGACAGGGAATTAAGCACATGTGAAACCCTAGGCCAGTCTGTGCATATTCTGGAAACCTGCAGATTCATCTCATTGTGATTAATAGAATCAAACATGCTCTAGGCCAGAGATAAAAAGCATCCCTGATTTTGTCTTAAGGACATCGTCCAATAAATCTTCATTGAATAAATATTTGTTGAACTGGATTGTATACATTTGTGCTGAGCAAACAGCACAATAGCTGATTTGCTTTGAGCCTAGGACTGACCCTGGGAAACATTATCCTTCTTTGTAAATTCCTTTCGGATGTTAATGTTTTTTTCACAGGAACCCAGCAGAATTCACATTTGGAAACTTTGGCTCAGAATGTGGGCATGATTCCATTAAGACACTCACATTCTACAATTCCTATTTTACAAATAGGCCCCAAAATTTACAAAATAGATCCTGATCATTAATAAACGTAAACATAAGAAAGTCAAAAATCATTGTGAACATTAACTAGATTTCAGAGATATTATTTCTTTTCGATTCATGAGAAGGACAAACATTCTTAAAACCTCTCCTCACTCATCTATCCAAGCGAATTTAAGATTTCTGTGTGAAAATATTGGACCCTTAGACCAACTAAATTGGAGCCCTAATTTAAGAACAGTTTTATTAAAATGTTAAAAATATACAAAAAGATATTGATTACATTTTCAAAAACCTGTCTTACCTTGTATGTATTCCAGAATTTCTGTTTCAGGTCCAAAAATATATCATCCTTTCCCTGGGCAATGTTCATACCTATTTACAAAAACACACACCAAAAGAATTTTAAAAGATTCAGTAGGAAGATTACTGTACTACAGTTTATGTTGTAGTTTCCCAACCAACATGCAAAGTAACCACCACAATCACTCACTCGGTATATCCCTTCTGACCCAACAGCGGACAGAGAACGCAATCTCCATTCCAAAATTAGATAAATTTTAAAGGAATGATAAATATAAAGTGAGACTAGAAAGGCATAAAAATTATAGCAGAATTATTTTTCCAAAAAAAAAAAAAACCCAAGAATTCACAAAAACAATAGTGTTAGGATAGTGGGACTATTGCTAATTTTTCTCTACCTTCAAAACTTTTTGTGAAATGTTTCAAGTTTTAAAAATTTAATTTCTTTCTTTCAAAAAAGGATGGTAGAGCCGGGCGTGGTGGCTCACGCCTGTAATCCTAACACTCTGGGAGGCCGAGGCGGGCGGATTGTTTGAGCTCAGAAGTTCGAGACCAGCCTGAGCAAGAGCGAGACCTCGTCTCTACTAAAAATAGAAAGAAATTAATTGGACAACTAAAAATATGTAGAAAAAATTAGCTGGGCATGGTGGCGTGTGCCTGTAGTCCCAGCTACTCGGGAGGCTGAGGCAGGAGGATCGCTTGAGCCCAGGAGTGTGAGGTTGCTGTGAGCCAGGCTGATGCCACGGCACTCACTCTAGCCCGGGCAAAAGACTCTGTCTCAAAAAAAAAAAAAAAAAAAAAAGGCTGGTAGGCACTGAATATTCTGGTAACTACAAATTTCCTATCGGTATTTTTCTAATCAAAGTTTGAAAGAAATGTACCAATTCAGCCTTCCCGAAAACACTTTGAAAACCTTTTTTTTGAGACGGAGTCTCGCTCTGTCACCTAGCTAGAGTGCAGTGATGTCATCGCAGCTCACTGCAGCCTCAAACTCCTGGGCTCAAGCGGTCCTCCTGCCTCAGCCTCCCAGGTAACTAGGACTACAGGTGTGCACCACCACGCCTGGCTAATTTTTCTATTTTTTGTAGATAAGGGGTCTCACTCTTGCTCAGGGCTAGTCTTGAACTCCTGAGCTGAAGGGATCCTTCCGCCTCAGCCTCCCAAAGTGCTAGCATTACAGGTGTGAGCCACCACGCCCAGCCGACGTGCCTCTTCATCTGCCCTAACAATTCGCTAAGGTAGGTAGAGTTACAGAGGAGGAAAAGAGCTTAGAGAGGTTAATAGAAGACCAAATACAACCTGAGCCAGGTCTCTTAATCCGCTACTACTCTGGCTCCCCAGGAGGCCCTGCACAAAGGATCATTTGATCCATGCAATTTCCAAGCAGTGCCTTACACAAACATCCAACCCACCTCTTCCCCTCTTCCTCCTTCATTGGAAAAGCAAAACAAAGCAGCAATCTGGGCAGGAATCTGAACCGGGGGCCTCTGCCAGAATCACAGGCCTCTGCAAGCCCTGTTGCTGCAGCATCTTTCTGATTTCAGACAGACTGACAACACTCTCACCATCAGAGCATCAAGATTACAAAACACGAGTGAGAGCCTGGATTGTGTTGTCTTTGGGCAAGTCACAGAATCCCTTTGAGACTCAGTTTCCTCATTTGTAACCAGGAAATCCTAAGAGTACCTGCCTCCCTGGTTATTAGAGGATTAAATAGGAATCTGGTCCCCAAAGTCCCAGTCCCTGAGTCTCAACCCCTTCACCAGTGTACGAGGCCACTGTAGTAGCAAGCACGGGAACATGTTTGCAAATCTGGTCTGGAAGTCACACCCTGGGTCCAGGCACAGACCTTCGGATAAACTAAGAGGCCCCTGCCCTGAGACTGTCTATTCTCTGACTGCACTGACCCCATAAGACCCATGTGGGCCAGGCAAAGTAACTCACGCCTGTAATCCTAGCACCTTGGGAGGTGCCAGAGATAAAAAGCATCCCTGATTTTGCCTTAAGGACATCGTCCAATAAATCTTCATTGAATAAATGAATAAATATTTGTTGAACTGGATTGTATACATTTGTTGAACTGGATTGCATACATTTGTGCTGAGCAAACAGCACAATAGCTGATTTGCTACATTGGTACATTTGGTACATTGCTACAATTGGTACATTTCTTTCAAACTTTGATTAGAAAAATACCGATAGGAAATTTGTAGTTACCAGAATATTCAGTGCCTACCAGCCTTTTTTTTTTTTTTTTTTTTTTGAGACAGAGTCTTTTGCCCGGGCTAGAGTGAGTGCCGTGGCATCAGCCTGGCTCACAGCAACCTCACACTCCTGGGCTCACTCCTGGAGGCCGAGGAGGGAGGCTCGCTTGAGGCCAGAAGTTCAAGACCAGCCCAAGCAACTCAGCCAGACCCCATATCTACAAAAATAGAGAAATTAGCCAGGTGAGTGTGCCTGTAGTCCCAGCTACTTGGGAGGCTGAGGCAGGAGAATCGCTTGAGCCCAGGAGTTTGAGATTGCAGTAGCTATGATGATTCCACTGCACTCCAGCCTGGGTGACAGAGGGAGACTGTCCAAACAAACAAAACAAAACCAAACCCATAGGGCACGGTAGGTTTCCTTAAGATGGTGGGTTGCCTGCCCTCAACCTGGTTACAAAGGCATCAACAGCTCCTAAGAGAAGCTCCCTCCCTCCCATTCTGGGGCGGAATTTGTTATCCCCAATGCCAATGTCAGGCCCCAGACCCACGGAGGAGATTTTCTGAGGGAATCATGCCCCTCCCCAGTTATCCAGCCCACCCCCTTCAAAGTTACAGAAATTGCTATGATGACATTGCCCACTGAGCCCCTTCCACTTTTCTTGGTATGTAGGCAGGAGGGAAGGTTTCCACAGTCAGGCCTCGCCAGCCCCACGGAGAATTTTCTGAAGAGAGGGCTCTCTGGACCCTCACAGGTATAGAGTCCTCTATGGCAAGGGTCCAAGGTCACCTCAGATTTTCTGTGGGACCGTCATAGGAAAATCTTGTTACCAAAGCAGGACTAGGACCCTGGGCATGAATTTTCTGAGGAATCAGGCTCAACCTCAGGTTCCACCTTCTCTGCCCCAGGGTAACCAGTCCCCTTGCATTTTGTTGGTGTGTTGGCCCCGGAGCCCCAGGCGTGGATTTTCCAAGGAACAGGACTGGCCCCCACCCCACGACTAGCTCACAGGAATCGCAGCTGCTATGGTCTCCTCGACTTTCCCGTGACCCTTTTTCAGGGGGAAATGGACCCCCGCAGTCCTGCCTAACCCCAGCCTGGGACTATGCCCAACCCTAGCGTCCCAGCCCCGACCCTAGGCCCTTGGATCCTTGACTCGCTGGCCCTCCGGCTCCCCAGCCAGTGTCCCCCAACTTCTCCCCCTGAGAATCCTCAATCCCCAGTCCCCAGACACCCTGGCCCCTGGGTCCCGACTTCCAGCCTCTGCCCGGCCCTCTGAGCCCCCTGAACCAGGACTTCCAGCCGCGGTCCCGGGCCCCCAGCAGCCCTGGCTCCTGCGCGGGTCCCCAGCCCCCTGCGGCGCCCCCCTCCAGACCCCGAACGCTGGATCGCGGGCCCCCGCACCGGATCGCGCCCCGGCCCCCCGCCCCGACCCCTCACCGACGTAGAAGGCCGAGAGCGCGATGGGCCCGCCGAGCGCCTGGTCGCACAGCACCTTGGCCAGGACGGCGCCCGGCGCGCGGCCCGGCAGCGCGCGCTCCAGCAGGCGCAGCCACACGTAGTTGAAGTTGGCGTGGAAGGTCACGGCCACGGTGGCCACGCACCGCGTCTGGCGCCAGTCCGCCGGGCCGCCCCGCAGCCGCTGCTGCAGCGCGTCGCCGGCCGAGTAGAGCCCGGTGTAGAGCAGCACGTTGGTGGGCCACGGGTAGCGCTGGGCCGCGCGCGGCAGCACCCGCCACCAGCCCGCCATGCTCGCGCCCGCGAGCGACAGCCGGGAGCTTCCCAGACCGGGCCCGCCGCCGCCGCCGCCGCCGCCGCCGCCACCTGCACCTGCCTGCGCCGGACGCCGGAGAGCCATTGGGCGCCCCGCACACCCCCAGCCGCGCTGTCCAATCCCGTGGCCACTGGCTGTGCTGGGGGCTGAGCGTTTGCAATGTGCCTGGTCCACCGAAGGCACGAGTCCACACCCGTGAAATGTCCGGAATTGGCAAAGCCACAAAGGCACAAGATAGATCAGTGGTGCAGGGATGCGGGATACCAAGTGACTGCTGAGCATGGGGCTCTTTTTTGGAACGACGGAAATATTTTGGGCCAGGCGCCGTGGCTCCTGCTTGTAATCCTAGCACTCTGGGAGGCTGAGGCGGGAGGATTGCTTGAGCTTGGGAATTCAATACCAGCCGAAGCAAGAGTGAGACCTCTTCTTTACTAAAAAAAAAAAAAAGAAAGAAACATTTTGTAATTAGATAGTGGTGATGGTTTGCACAGCTTTGTCAATACACTAAAAACCATTGAATTGTATATTGAATTGACGTTTATGGAATGTGAATTATATCTTGAAAAATAAAGGGGAAAAAAACGAAGGGATAGCAAAACTCAGTTACCAAAATAGCAACTTTGCATTCATCCCATTTTGTTTGTTGTTTGTTTTGTCAACAGATACGAAGACAAACTCTGTAAAATAATTTTAAAGAGATTTATTATGAGCCAAATTTGAGGACCATGAGCTGGAGCCACACCAAAGAAACCTTGTGGTTGGATTACAGTTTGGTTTTATACATTTCAGGGAGACGGGGGTTACAGGTAAAGTCATAAATCAATACATGGAAGGCATACATTGGTTTGTCCCAAAAAGGTGAGCCATCTTGAAGGAGGAGGGGTGGCTTACAGGTTATGGGTGGGTTTAAAGATTCTTTGACTTGTAATTGGTTAAAGACATGAAGCTTTAAAGGCTTGGAATATTTTAAGATAAGGAGCTCTGTTAATCAGAGACAAGCCATGGGACGTATATTTGTTGTGTAAATTGAGGACCTACAGGTTTGTCTTGCAGGGCCTTAGGCCTGCTAATGTATTACAAAGTATATCTCCAAGAAGGGAGGGGGACATGATGAGGCATGTCTGACCTCCCTCCTAGTGGCTGGCAATTTAGTTTTAGGATATCCACTTAGCCAGGAGGGGTTCCATTTAGTCAGCCCTGTGGGGGAGCCTTAAGATTTTATTTTAGTTCACCGTTTGTTTTTTTTGAGACAGGGTCTTGCTCTGTGGCCCAGACTGAACTGCAGTGGCATGATCATTGCAGCCTCAAACTCCTGGGCTGAAGGGATTCTCCTGCCTCAGCCTCCAAGTAGCTGGGGCTACAGGTGTGCCACCAGGCCCAGCTAACTTTTTTTTTTTTTTTTGAGACAGAGTCTCACTCTATTGCCCGGGCTAGAATGCCATAAGTCAGCCTAGCTCACGGCAACCTCGAACTCCTGGGTTCAAGCAATCCTTCTGCCTCAGTCTCCCGAGTAGCTGGGACTACAGGCATGCGCCACCATGCCCAGCTAATTTTTTCTATATATTTTTAGTTGTCCAGCTAATTTCTTTCTATTTTTTTTAGTAGAGACGGGGTCTCACAATGCTGCCTGGGCTAGTCCTGAATTCCTAGCCTCAAGCAATCCTCCCACCTCAGCCTCCCAAAGTGCTGGAATTACAGGTTTACACCGCAGCTGGCCTCACACTTTCAACAACATACTGACATGGTGTAACTTCGTTTGGAGCGAATGTCGCAAGTTAAAATTTGAGACCTTCCATGAATGTGAGATGAGACCCAATGTGCCTCCTGCCATCTCCTCTTCAGTTTGTGCCTCAGTGGCACACATGCTGAGCTCCCAGATACTGTCCCAGAGCAGGGAGTCAGTGGGAACCCCAACAACAGCTGCTGTAGAAGCTCTGTCCACATGGAACTCATTTTCTCTTTCCTTCTTTTTCTGCTTTTTTTTCTTCACAGTCACATGTAACTAACCTGGTTCTATCTCCCTCTTACTCTTTTCTATTGTTTATTCTATTTTATTTAATCTTTAATTATTTTTATTTTTAACATTTAATTTTGAAATAATTCCAGACTTAGAAAATGGCACAAAGAGTTCCCAGGTACTCTTCACTCAAGCTTCCCCAAATATTGACATCTTATGTAACCACGGTACAATGATGCAAACAAGGAAATAAGCATGGCTGTGATGCTATTACCTAATCTACAGGCCTTATTCAAATTATTGCCGATTGTCCCTCTAAAGTCCTTTTTTCCCAGTCTGGCATCCAATCCTGGATCACTTTGCATGGTGTCGAACTGTCATATCACCTTAGTCTCCAATCTGGGCTGCTAGCTAGTTATTTTGCAGACTGTACTTCAATTTAGCAACCCCGTTGTTATGGGCTGAATTTTGTCTCCCCAAAATGCATATGTTGAAGGCCTAACTCCCAGTACCTCAGAATGTGACTGTAGTTGGAGACACAGCCTCTAAAGTGGTGATTAAGTTAAAACAAGGCCTTTAGAGTGGGCTCTAATCCAATCTGTCCGGTGTCTTTATAAGAACAGGAAATTTGGACACACCAAGAGGTACCAGGGGCACAAATGCAAAGACTGTGTGAGGACACAGCGAGAAGGCAGCCAACTGCATGCCAAGGAGAGAGGCCTCAGAATGAAACCAACCCAGCAGACACCCTGACCTCGGACTTCCAGCCTCTAGAACTGTGAGAAAATAGATTTCTATTGTTTGAGCCATCCCGCTGGTGGCCCCAGCAAACTAATATATCCATTCTCTTCGATTCTTAGGAATCTGCCAATTTCTACGTTCTTCTACCCTTTCTATCTGCCCATTTGCTGATTTCCAGCCCTCTCCTCTCCTTGTCCTTGTTGCTGGTACCAAGTAAATCTTTCCGTCAGATTTCTCTCAGTTATATTTCTCCCAAGCTCCTTTGCTCAGCAAAATATCTCTTTGCTTATTACTTATATCTCCCTGTATTCTTTTCCCATTGCTGCTGTAACAAATTAACACAAATTTAATGACTTAAAACAACACAAATTGGTTGTCTTAGGGTTTTGGAGGTCAGAAGTCTAAAATGGATCTGCAGGGCTGGAGGTCCCAGAGGAGAATGCACTTCCTTGTCTTTTCCAACTCCTAGACTCCCCGTGCATTCCTTGGCCACGTCCTCCACCTTCAAGGTCAGCAGCATAGCATCTTCCAGTCTCTCTCTCTGTTGTTCCATCATCACACAGCCTTTTCTCACCCTGGCCCTCCGGTCTCACTCTTAGAAAGACCCTTGTGATTATATTAAGCTCGGCCGGATAATCCAGACACTCTCCCCATCTCAAGATCACGACATTAGTCACAGCTACCAAGTCCCTTTTTCCATGAAAAGCAGCATATTCACGGAGATTGAGACATGAACATCTTTGGGGGTACCATTATTCATCCTCCTGTATCCCTCTTTATCGTGTCTTCCTTCTCTGAGACCATTGGTCTCACCTAACAGCAATTGATCATCTTAGCTGAAATCAGATTATGCATTTATCAACACATACAGATCGGGACTATCTGTCCCAACAAATTGGTTCATTCATTCATTCAATTAATAAATATTCATTGAGCACCATTATGTGTCAGGCACTGAACTATACGCTGTGTGTAGAAAGGATTTGTATTTGCAATGCCTTCCCCAAAAAATCCAATTCCTGCCTAAATTAGAGAAAATGCTTATGGTCTATGAAAAACGAGGAAAATTTCCTTAATGATTCATATGCAATTCCCTTAACAAAATGTGTTAGAGAGAAAATAGAGCAAAATTGGGTTCCTAGAAAAAAAATCTTTCAGTCTATCAAAAAAGGAAAGTTTCCCCCAATGATTTCTACACAATTCTTTTAACCAAATTTGTTAGAGAGAAAAATAGAGCAAACTTGAGTTCCTGGAAAAGGAACCTTGGAGTCACAAAGTGAGGTAGGCAGGGGTGAGGGTTGCCAGATAAAATACAGGATGCTCAGTTAACTTCGCATTTCAGATAAACAATGAATGACTTTTTTAGTGTAAGTGTGCCCCATGCAATACTGGGGGCATATCTATACTATAAAATTTCTCATTGTTCACCTGAAATTCAAAGTTAACTGGGCACCCTGTATTTTTTTCAAATTTATTTTGCTAAATCTAGCAACCCCGAAGGGAGGGAACTAACGTTTACTGAGTGCCTATTGCATATGTCAGTTCTCCATGTTGACTCATTATTCCTCGCAGAAACCGGAAGAGCGAGGGATTGGTAACAATCTGTAGAGACATTTATCTTCCGAAATCCGTGGTGGTCTTTATCAAGCAACTTGACAGATTTACTTAACGGGAACTGAAAGAAGAAAAAATGAATACTTAGAAGAAGGCTTAGCATTGCACAGGTATTGCTGTATCCTCCTCTCTTCTTAAAAGCAATCAAAACTTCCGTAGCTAAAGACAATCCTTCACTCAAGCAAGTGGTAGAGATGCACATGGTCTTCACACTAGAGGAGATGCTCTAAGATAAACTAATTCATTACATTGATGCTGCATCATCTGTGGAAGCTGTGACTCAGAGCCCTGCAGCAATATGAGGCAACATACTCTTGTGGTATTAATATCCCTACACAGTGGGGGATGACTGGAGAGCACAGGGCTGGGTTACAGTGTGAAAGGGGAGCTTTGTTAGGAACTCTCTCACAGGGAGTAAGTACTGATGTGGGAGCTGAGCTTCAATTTACAACTAAGGATCACATTAAAAAGACATTAAGATGATCGCAATGGAGCTTATTGTAGCTGTTAATATTTTGTCATTATTTCATTTTGTTTAAATGAATGGGGGCTTAATAAGAATCACCAAGTGGGCCACAGCATCTGAAATCTAACTTCTGCTGAAATTTTTACTAACAAAAGACTCCTACTATGGGCCAGGCATGGTGGCTCACGCCTGTAATCCTAGCACTC